CAGGCAGACACTGCTGCGTGGTCAGCAGTACATGACCTACCAATTTCCTATAGAGGTGTTCCATTTCTGGACTATTTTGCTGCAATAACTACCCACCTTCACACCCGTTGGCAACAACGTTGGTCAACTCTGCTTGGTAACAAACTTCATTCTATTAAACTGAGCATAGGTTACTGGCCGTCTTCTTGTCATCAGTGCCGAGGTTGGGAGACCACTCTCTCCCACCTTCGCATTGGCCACACTCGTGTTACTCATGGGTATCTCATGGAGAGGCACCCTGTTCCTCTCTGTGAGCAGTGTCAAGTTCCAGTATTGATTAGCCACATCTGTTAGACTGCCCTCTCTATCAACGAGCACGCAGAATTTACCTCCAACGTCATCTTCGTTCTACTACTATCTCTTTACCTTCCCTTCTTGTTGATGGACCCTCCTTTAATCCTGATGCCTGTGGTCTACATGCCAAGTGTAGCCACATCATCCTCATTTTCACTGTCTATTCCTGGTGTAGGGCCATGGGATGTACTTTGGGATGTACTCCGAGATGTACTCCGTCCCTGGGCACTGCATAGGGGCATAGGGAACACTACCCAAGCGCATGTGGCGGCATATATACCGACGCTTCACTGGTGAATATGATTCCTCACTATCACTACTCGAATGATCATCAAGAGCAATAAAATCACAGTTCACATCACTATCATCATCATTACTGAAGTCTGAAGCTTGACCATGCGAAAATATCAGTTTTCTCTTGGGACGAGGTACAACTGAACGTGACTGAGATGTGCCCACACAATCGGTAGAAGGTTGAGGATAGTCAGGATTTTCTGCACTATTTTTGATATCCTGGTCATTGCTTTCGGTCACTAATCAATCAAAGCCATACAATTCTTCTTTTCCACTTCCATCAGAGTCAGAACTATCAGTTATGAAGAGGAGAGTCCCAATTTGCATTGGAGTGAGAGCTGCCTTGCGGCGAGGCATGGTGAACAAAGGTTACTGAGGCGGCGTTCCCACAATGCCATGCGAGCGCCTAGAATTTTTGTTTATGGCACTCGCACATCATGCAGACCAGTTCTCTCAGATGTAAGCCTACCAGCCTTCTTGCACTAAATTTGACGCCGCTGGAATTTTGGCATAGATCTATGGTTTGGACCCTCAACGTATAGCCATAGATCTACGGCACGGACCCTGAAAGGGTTAAAATAGGGACTTAAGTTTCCTAGGATATTTTTTATGGTTTTATTGGTATCATTTGATAGCTTGGCAGACATACTATTGAAATAGATGATTTTGGGTGGTTTCAGGACTGAAGTAGATTGAAATTGGGCTCAAAGTAGCAGAAATATTGAATTTTTGCCAGTTTTCCTAAGGATGGGTAAGGCCCCCTACATCCCCAGGTCTTTGGTATGGGTTTTTAACCCTTAAACTGTCCAAAAGTAGATCTACGTTTTTTCAACATTTGAAAGTATGTAAAAAAATGTAGACCTTTTTTTTTTTACATTTGAAAACGTGTAAAAAAAAACTTTGATCTACTTTTTTTTTTTTTGTTATATTTGAAAATATGTAAAAAACATAGATCTACTTTTGGAGCACTATGCATGTGAACATAGATCTGTTTGGAAAGTTTAAGGGTTAATAGATATGATTCATTTATTGGGATGCAGTAAGCCACAAGCAATCTTTTCTGTTTAAATTTTATCTGAGAAATAGAGTAAATCTGCTAATTGTGTGTGAATAAGAATTCCAAATTGAAAGAAAGTGTAATATAGGGGAGGCTGGGGGATGTGATTAATGATCAGAGGAAATGTTTTTGTGCTTTCTGGAATGAATTATGGCCGAAACTTGGGGTACCACTGTATGTTGTTGATATTTTGTGCCTTGTACCTAAGAATGTAGACATAAACCATTTCCTTGTTAAATTAAATAGCTTAACTCATTTTAAAAATTTTACTGTTGAGTTCGAAGTAAATAATTCTTTATCTTTTCTAGATGTTTTAATTATTAAGGGTAACAATGATTTTAAATTTAAAATTTACAGAAAACCTACAAGTAGCTGTTCCTATGTACACTGTTAATCTTCACATCAAGATAGAGTTAAACTGTCGTTTTTTTTTATCAGTGTATTTGAAAACTTCATATATTTGTAGTCCAGAGTTCATAGATGAAGTCTCCCAGATTTATGAAATAGCTAATGATCTAAAATACCCAAGAAATGTAATTGATATAACCTTTAAAATAGCTAAAAATACTTTTTACAATTCAAAAAGGGACAATCAACCTTATTGAACTAAAAATATGTTGGTTCTCCCTTACCATTTATTTATTTTTTATTTGGACATGATACATAGTTGTACATAGAAATATAGTGATTGTGTGTACATACCAAAATCCCCTTGTATGCAGAGCATTATGGGCAGGCTTAAAATTAACTTCAGATAAATTAAGCAAAGATATATTCAGTGGTAAAAATTACAGTAAACAAATTACAACATGAAGTACAAATGAGTATTTCAAATAAGAAGCATTAAAGTTGTACAAATTTGTAGCATAACAGGCACATGTTGGGCATTTCTGGTGATGTTCGAAAAATGGTGGAACCATACTTTGGCAAGGGCTATACATTGTACACAGCAACTGGTATACAAGCCCTATGCTCACTGATATCCTACGTGTGAACAATACTGATATACGTGGAACAGTGAGAGGGAATAGAAAACATATGCCAAGGTTCAGTGGAGGCAGTGCTGAAGGTGAAGTGCAAGCATTTCATACCAATGAAATCAGTGAACAGGGAGACCAGTGAACGCATTGTAAAGCCAGCTGCTGTCGTGGACTATACAAACAACATGCGACTAGTTGACAAGTGTGACATGATGGGGTTCATTGACTGTATGCGTAGGAGTCGCAAGTGATACATAAAACTGTTTTTCCACCTTCTAGACATTGCAATGCTCAATGCATTCAATATGTACGAAATAAAGACTGGAAAATGACAACATTTTGCAGAATTCTCCCTGAATGTCGTAAAATAGATAGCAAAAAAGTATGGTACCACACCTGTATCTGCCCCCCCAACAGCTACCTGTCACACCACAACCTGTCCCCCAACCACAACCACAGCCAGTGGGGTAAGTGCCAGACCGAATCATCCCTAACTGTCACTACCTGGTACCAATACCACCTAACCCAAAGAACATAAGAACATAAGAACATAAGAAAGGAGGAACACTGCAGAAGGCCTGTTGGCCCATACTAGGCAGGTCCTTTACAGGTAAGACACATATGCAACAGTTAGGTATCTTTATTTCGAAACGTTTCGCCTACACAGTAGGCTTCTTCAGTCGAGTACAGAAAGGTTGATAGAAGCAGAAGATACTTGAAGACGATGTAATCAGTCCATCACCCTTAAAGTTTTGAGGTGGTCAGTCCCTCAGTCTGGAGAAGAGCATTGTTCCGTTGTCTGAAACAATATCAAAGAAGAAGAAGCATTCCCAGAAAAAGTGTATTGTGTGTGCGACCACCACAAAACGACCCCAACAGCGGAAGGACACACGATACATATGTCACCAGTGTGGGGTGACACTCTGTATGAATCCATGTTTCATAGAGTATCATACAATCGTGGAGTTCTAGAAACATGAGTGGGACATGTAAATACTTGTATATAGCTGTAGATAATAGTGTGTGATTCAGCCGGGTGTGCAAAAATCACCTATCAGTGTGTACGTGTGTGTATTGGTGTATAAGCAACAATTGACATTGAAATCAAAAGATTTACTATAAAACATAAGTATCATATCATGAAAATCAAGGAAAGTAAAAAAAAAAAAAACTGGGAAAAAAAAAAAAACAGTAAATGTGTATAATTTCTGCAAGTGGCAGTGCTCCTAGTTGCCATCAGGTGATCGCCAAGTGCCAACTTTGCGCCCCTCATATCTTGATAAGTACTGACCCTAAATTTTTTTTTATCCTATAACACTTAGAAAAATGTGCTCTTTATTTCTATAAAAAAAAAAAATTATTTTTCAAAACATTTGTGGCACTGGGGTAGTGAACGTATATATATGTTTGGACCGTTTACGGGTTAATACAGCTACTGGATCGGGGAGTTATTAAGTCATTCAAGTGTAACTGCACAAGAAAAGTGATAAAAGCTAGTTGCATCAATGGACTCTGACTCCAACCTGGCAATACCAAGCTTCAGGAATAATGTATTATGTACTGCAGGGTAAAAGAAACCAGAGATCCATTACAGAACTTATGCACACTCCGATACAACCATCGACTTTAGTATCAGAACCTCAACCATCCACTTCTGCCAACAACCATCCACCTCAGCCCATTAGGGCCACACCGTGCATCTCCACTCTCTTCACAATCACTGACATACTCCAACAACTACAATTTAAGGTAAATAATGTTATTTCTGTTGCATTTGTAGTCTTAAGCAACAAAAACAAAATTTTCGTTTTTATTTTTGTAAGATCTAGATATCTAAAAAAAAAATTGTTTGGCTGAGGGGGGGGAGGCCTTAGGAACGTAACCCTATTTTCCCCATAAGTTCTTCAGTTTCGATAACATGGATTTTATCTAACACGGCATTTTCAGGAATGTAAGTACTTTGTAATATGAGGGTCTACTGTACAGTGTTCTGAATGTAACAAGTCATAAATAAAAGAAAAACTTACCACAGTGGTTATAGATTGTCAGTTATTTGTAATTTTTTAAATTTTTTTTTAGTTTTCTGTTTCTTGTAAGTACAATATTTTTTTCTTATGTGTATACTCTGTGAGGAAGAGGATGACCCTGGCCTCTTAAAGTTCTCTGATGTCAGGAAATACTGTGTTAACTTGGTCACACTTTTGAAATTTAGATTGTTTTGGTTTTCTTTTCTCTTAAGATATATGAGATCCAATATGCATTTGGAACATGGTGATTACATTTGAATTTGAATTTCTTCAGAGTCCTTGTTTAGTGTATATTTTGATTAATTTTAGGGGGCCAACTGGAAGATGAGGCAGAAAGAATTCACCGAAGATTGCAACCAACTGATCTCAGCCAGTCTCAGGATTCTGACTCCTATCCAAGAGAGTCAAATATTTATTTAAGGGAGATAAACAATTACCTAAGAATATTGCAAGATGGAATTAATGAATATGCTATGTACAGGTTAGTTGCTAAAATTTGAGTGAAAATTTTTCTTATTCTTTCTTGTTCTACAGTGTTTTGTTCCCATTTTAGATAATGATTCATATTCTCATGTTTTTGCTGCCATTCATTTATTTTGCCATTTTCCAGTTTAACCCTCCACCTTGACTGATCTAGTGAAGAGTAAAATGTACTACTTGTGTGAGAAGTTCTCGTAATAAGAGGCTAAAGTGCAGTAGTACCTCAGTACTCGAACTTAATTATGTAATTCCAGAAGGTTGTTCGAGTGCCAATCTGTTTGATTACTGAATGAATTTTTCCCATAAGGAATAATGTAATTTAGATTAATCTGTTTCAGAGCTCCAAAAATACAATCACAAAAGCATTTGAACATGAAATTTACAAGCCTAGCATGCATAAATCTTAAGAAAAAAAAACTAAACACAGTGCTTGTCTATCCAAGTGATAGACAAGCAACAGCTTCACTTTTAAATGACCACTTGCATTCCTGCACAACAAAAGAGTGATTCTGTCCTTCACTGGCTTGTGTCCTGGTAATGACTTTTCCTTTTGAGTGATATACAGTGGACCCTTCCTTTTCGTTGATCTCCATTATCGCCGATTTCCGTTTTCGTCGATTTTTTCATCAGTATTTTGGTTCTGTCGATGGTACAGAACCTGTCCAGTGCCCAGCGCGTAGACAAAGCTGCCTCCCACACGCATTCTCAGGCAGTGTTGCGTTGTTTCTTGGTGAGTGAACATATCCTGCCAGGTCATATGAAACATTTCGTAATAATCCGTTGTTTTTGGCACTTGTTTATTGTGTGTGACTGCTAAATAAGCCACCATGGCCCTAAAGAAAGCTCCTAGTGCCAGTCCTTTGGTAAAGAAAGTGAGGAACACCATAGAAATGAAAAAAGAAATTGTTCAAAAATATGATATAGTGGCATACGTATAGCTGAACTTGGCAGGATGTACGGGGAGGCACCATCAATGATCAGCTCCATTGTGGCAAAGAGAAAAAAAATCATGGAGGCTGATGTTGTGAAAGGGGTGAATGCGATAACCAAACAGAGATCCCAAACAATTGAAGTAGTGGAGAAATTGTTGTTGGTGTGGATCAGAGAGAAAGGGTTAGCAGGAGATAGTGTTGTGCAGTTGATAATTTGTGAAAAGGCAAGGCAGTTGCATGATGATCTCATAAAGAAACTGCCTGAAACGAGTGCTGATGTTGATGAATTTAAGGCAACCAAAGGCTGGTTCGAAAAATTCAAGAAGCGAAGTGGCATACACAGTGTTGTTACTAAGGCATGGTGAGGGTGCCAGTTCAGACAAACAAGCAGCTGAAAAATTCGTGTGGGAATTTAAGGGTTATGTAGAGGCTGAAAAATTCCAACTCCAACAAGTGTTCAATTGTGACAAAACAGGCCTGTTTTAGAAGTGCCAAAGAGGACCTACATCACACAGAAGGAAAAGGCACTCCCAGGACACAAGCCTTTGAAAGACAGGCTAACTCTATAGTTGTGTGGTTGTGCTACTGGGGATTTCAAAGTGAACCCTTTACTTGTGTATCAATCTGAAAATTCCAGAGTGTTCAAGAAAAACAGTGTTGTCAAGAGTAAATTGTATGTGGTGTGGAAGGGTAACAGTAGGGCATGGGTTACGAGGGAAATTTTTCTAGAATGGTTCAATGAAGTGTTTGGCCTGAGTGTGAAGAAATACCTCCTGGATAATAAATTGCTACTTCAGTGCCTCCTGTTAATGGACAATGCTGCTGCTCATCCTCCAGACTCGGAAGACCAGTTGTCTAAGGAATTCAGTTTTGTAACAGTGAAGTTCTTGCCTCCTAACACCACTCCTCTCATCCAGCCCATGGACCAGCAGATCATGGTAAACTTCAAAAAACTGTACACCAAAGCAATGTTTCAAAGGTGCTTTGACATAACCTTGGACTCTGAATTGACCCTAAGAAAGTTCTGGAAGAATCAGTTCAATATCTTCCACTGCATAAGCCTTATAGATAAGGCTAGCAGAGAGTTACTGCCAGGACTATGAACTCTGCTTGGGGAAAATTGTGGCCAGATTGTGTCCAAAAGAAGGATTTTGAAGGGTTTGAGGCTGACCCTGTCAACCCTACACCTGTTGTGCAATCAGTTGTGGCATTGGGGAATTCCATGGGGCTGGATGTGAGTGGCGAGGATGTGGAAGAGTTGGTGGAGGACCACAATCAAGAGCTCTCTACTGATGAGCTGCAAGAGCTTCATCTGCAACAGCAACAGACCACAGCTCAGGAAATTGCTTCAGAGGAGGAGGAAGAGAGATGGAAGAAGGTGCCTTCTTCAAAGATTAAGGAGATTTGTGCATTGTGGACTAAGGTGCATTCATTTGAGGAGGAACATCACCCATGCTGGTGACTTTTACAATGACTTGCCATGTCCCATTTTAGGCAAATCTTAGAGATGCCAGAAACAGACCTATCTGGACAGATATTTTGTGCAACAGGGGTCCAGTGACTCTCAGGCTGGTTCTAGTGGCATTAAAAAACAAAGGAGAGAAGTGACCCTGGATAGGGACTTTGTACCTACAGTCCTTATGGTGGGGCATTCCCCTTCCAAAGACTAACCTTTTCCCTCTCCCCTCCTCCCTGTCTTCCATCAACAACAGCCTTCAATAAAGGTAAGTGTCATGTTGAATGTTCATTCTTTTGTGCATGTAAATCTGGTAAGGTAAAAAAAAAAAAATTTTTGTTAACCCTTAAATGGTCCAATATATATATATATATGTTCTCTCGTGTAGTGCCCCAAATGTATATATACGTTTCATTTGTCATTCATTCAACATTGGCACGATAGGCCTGAGTCACCTAGACATCAGAGAATGGATGTGCGCACTCAGTGTGTGCCATATGAAAAAAATTGGGGAGTGCCTGGGTACCACATGCTCTTTTTTCCTATAATTTTTTTTTTCTCAAAATATTCAGGGCGCTGCACAGGTGAACGTATATATACGTTTGGACCGTTTAAGGGGTAATACTTCTGGGTGTCTGGAACAGATTAATTGGATTTACATTATTTCTTATGGGGAAAATGGCTTCTGTTTTCGCTGATTTCCATTTTTGCCGATTGCTCTGGAACGGATTATACGCGAAAACCGAGGGTCCACTGTAGGTTTTTTCGTCTTTTTTTCAAAAATAAACCTGTCCCATCACAATTGAACACTTGTTGGGGAATAAAACCCTTAGTCTCTACATAGTCACAAAACTCATTGACATATTTCTTGGCAGCAGGTTATGTTTGTTTGAGTGCTGAGCAAACAGTCGACCACCGAGCGATGTTTTTTTTTTTTTACCAAACAAAGCTTTTGAATACTGAATTATTCGAGTTGGGAGCTGTTCGAGTACCAAGTTACTACTGTACTATACATGTGTACTTGCATCAACTTTTCTCAGTCATAAATTTTGGTTTCTAATAATAGAAATACTGTAAAATCTGGTAATCATATGTGATGTTGAGTCAGAACCTTTAATGGATGCAGTACAGTTCACTCATTATTACTACAGTGGAACCCCGATTTTCAAACTTAATCCATTCCAGAAGGTCGTTCTAAAACCGAAATGTGCAAAAACTGTATAAATTTTTCCATAAGAAATAATGTAAAACAATTAATCTGTTTCAGACACACACAAATATTAACAAAAAAATAATTTTTTGAAGATTAATTAGTGTTGCAGCTCTTAACTCCCACCAAATGAAACAGCAAGCAGACTCAATGATTTCTTCTCCACTACAGGAAAAAACCTTGCCAATAAAATCCCAAGCTCAAATACCCCACCCAATGACTACCTCACTGGCAACTACCCGAACACAGTTCCTAGCTCCGACTAACCCAACTGAAGTCTCCCTTATTATCAACACGCTAAAAAACAAGACAGGAGATTTAAATACCTTACCACCCTTTATATACAAAAAAGCGTCACAAGTACTATCACCAATCATTGCAACACTCTTTAACAAATCCATCGAATCCTCTACCTACCCTACAGTTCTCAAAATAGCAAGGGTCACCCCGATCCCTAAAGGAGGAGACCAAACAGACTTGAATAACTATAGGCCATTATCCAACTTACACCCTCTCTCTAAAATCTTCAAAAAATTAATTCATAAGTGAATCTATTCCTACCTCATCTCCCATAACATACTCAACCCCTGTCAATTTGGGTTCAGGCCTAATAAAAATACTAATGATGCTATTATACACATGCTAGAACATATATACACTGCAATGGAGAAAAAAGAAGTCCCACTGGGGATCTTCATTGACTTGCGTAAAGCTTTTGATACAGTTGACCATGACTTGCTCCATAGAAAATTGTCACACTATGGGATAAGAGGGCACTCCCTCAACTACCTAAAGTCATACCTCAGCAACAGAAGCCAATATGTGTACACAAATGGGGGCAAACTCTTCCGCACAGCCAGTGTCCTTGGCCCTCTTCTCTTTCTCATATACATAAATGACCTACCAAATGCGTTGCAACTACTCAAACCCACACTACAGTGGACCCCCGGTTAACGATATTTTTTCACTCCATAAGTATGTTCAGGTGCCAGTACTAACCGAATTTATTCCCATAAGGAATATTGTGAAGTAGATTATTCCTTTCAGACCCCCAAACATACACGTACAAACGCACTTACATAAATACACTTACATAATTGGTCGCAATGGGAGGTAATCGTTATGCGGGGGTCCACTGTATTTGCAAATGACACTACATACGTCTTCTCTCACCCGAGCCCATTCATGCTAGCCAATACTGTGAATACCAAATTACAGAAAATATCTACCTGGATGAGGACCAACAAACTTACTCTAAACATTGACAAAACTTACTTCATTCAGTTTGGTAACAGAGCTACAGATGTCCCTCTTAACGTAATGATAAATGGACCATCTATCACAAAGCTCACAGAGGGAAAATTCTTAGGAATCCCCTTGATAATAGACTCAAATTTCAAACA